GGGGGGGGGGGGGAGCAGGAGAGGACACACGTACTGAAGGGACCGGCAAGGACAGGTGAGTGTGCTGAGGAGTTGAGACAAGTCTCCGGAATGTGGAGCCAGAAGTGGAGGAGTCCTGAGGAGGCAGGCGGAGTAAACACAGCTAAAAAGTACATGCACTCATTGCTATGGTGATCACAAAAGAAGATGAGACACGGATGCCAGTGGCAGCCGAGCACTTCCCAGAGGAGAGGGAAGGGCTGCGGGAGGAAATCAGAAGCGTGCAAAAACAGGTCACTAAAAAACTGGACTCTCCACGGACTTCGGGGCTGCTGCCACCTGAGAACACGGGTGGATGCTGTGCTGCTTGGACGGACGGGAGGGCCTGACAGCAGGGTACCTCCGCCTCCAGAGCCGGGGGGTGGGGGGAGAAAACCTCTCCCGGGTTACGTACCCCAGGACAACCACCAGAGAGACCTGCAGTGCAGTGAGGACAGGAGGGGGACACACACCCATCCTCCAGAGTGTGCTCCACCTTGAGAAAGAGATGCTCCGAGTCTCCCTTCTGATGGATGGCACAGCTCTGGCTCCCGTGGGGCTGAGAGTGGGTTGTGCTGGGTGCCTCACCCCCAGCCTCCTTCCCCAGGTCAGGCCCCACAACGCAAGGAATGGCCTCCTGCCTGGGCCACCCCACTTCTCTGTAGGGCTGTCACCAGAAATACCGCTCCACTAAGATGCCCTCCTTCCCTCCCACCCCGGCACTTGAACTGTTAGAATTCTAAGACAGGTGACACTGCTTCATCCAACTGATATCCCAGACCAACATGCTGCTTAAAGAGAACCTCTCTTAGAGACTGTCACACTGTGGGTGCCAGGCAAACGCAAGCTTTTGTCTTTCCTGTGCATCCTGAGGATGACAGTTCATGCATCTTGCCTGACGGTCCTGTTCATCATGTAGTTTATGATTGCAGATGTTTTTCAGTTGACAGTGCTACATTGAGACTTTATTTTGCTAATCACAAATGGAGTCAGTAAGGCAGCAGATCACATTACTCATCAGCCAAATGAGACAGATCACGAATTAAGAAGTGAGCTACCAGCAAGGTCACTGGCTGGTCCAGTCTGTACTCAGATGGCTGGTAGCCCTACTTCTGCACAGGTATTTTGGAGAAAATTGTCATGAAGAGAGATTTTTCATGATAACTTTGGAGTTTTATAATGGAAAGCTACTCTTCACCAAGGAAAAGTTCAAAATACCACATCTAAGAATCTTTTTCCTTTCTTTTTTGGTTATGAGATGGTGGGCTGGATTCAGTGTATGCCTGGAAGGGACCCTGATCAGACAGGAGGTTCTGTCTGCCGTGACCCGAGATTCCTTCTGTTGTAATAAGTAATTTCAGAACTGGCGTTCTGAGGGGAGCTGCATTGTAATAAAAGGACTACAAATAGAAAATATGTAATTTGAGTTCAATGTTATTTATAAAGATGTTTCAATTTTTTCATATTTAGTAAGTGAACACATAATTAACACAGCTTAAGTGGTAAGTAAAATTTCAGTTTATTGGGAATTTTTTTTGTGGTGCTGGTACTTGAACTTAGGGCATGAACACTATCCCTTAGCTTTCCTTTTTTTTCTGTTCAAGGCTGGCATTCTGCCACTTGAGCCACAGCCCCACCACCAAGTTTTGGAACTATTATGGGTTAGGGATAGAATATTAAAATGCAGGTTTACATTTACTTTTGTTATAACACACACACACAAAGCGCTTCTATGACCTGATTTTTAGAATTCTTGAATTTTTGTTTTAAAAACACAGAAACTATTTGTTATTGTAACTTTGAGGTCTTTTGAAATAGCCCTGTTTATTCTGAGGGGGTAGAAGAAAACACTCAGTTTCTGTTTGTTTGTTCACACGATCCTCTCGGGAAGAAACACACTGTGGGTGTGGATCATTTTGATTCTAAATAAGTAAAAAGGCAAAATGAATCTGAATTGTCATATTTTTTAAAGTGCTAGATGCACCTTGACTGCCCTGGGAGAATTCTCACTCCACGTATGAGTAGGGCACTGCATGCTGTGTTCTGAGAGCATTAGAATGCTTTCTCCCTCCACAGCTGCTTGGGCCCTGTTTAATCTGCAAGCCCTCTGGCAGGGGTGGTCTTCGGGCCAGTGCTGCAGACATTGTCCAGGGCCCTATCTTGGGACTGGCATTCAGGACTCATACCACACTCTGCTGGTGCCCAGGGAGCAGAAGACGGATAGCCAGTACTGAGAAGGACAGAAAGGGTTTCCTTATAGAACACAATGCAAGGAGAAAAACATCTGAGCCACAGAGCATTAAGCCCCAAGCACAGGGCCCCAGCTGAGCATCCTGGTGGACCACCCATGAAGCCAGCCTGGGAGAACTGAGAAAGACTATGGAAAGGGGAAACTGCAGGTTCACAGCTGCTTTCTGGCTTCTCATTTACCTCTTGAATTTCTCCTTGTCTTTTATGTGTTTTCTCTACAGAGAGGCCCCTCAGAGGTGTACACTGCATGGGAATGATGACATACAAGCAAGAGAGGGACAAGCAAAGCAAGCCAACAGCACAGCCTCCAGCTAGACACCACACTCAGAGGGCCAAGGACTATGAGGTTTGGGCCAGGGTGTTGGACCTTTCAAGGTCTTGGTGGTGGCTGATCTGGCGGAGGCTGGAGGAAACCAAAGCACTACATGTTTGCTTTCATCTGCTGGTAGGGAGTATCTATACACGGTAATGATGGCCCCATGGGGCGGGAGCAGGGCTTCCTCTGCACAGAGCTGTGGCAACAACAGCCATTAGCAGGCAGAGAAAACCATTCCACTTAACTCAGATTAGATGTTTACCTGGCCCTCACAAATATCACAGCATTCTCCAAAAGAGAGCCTTACCTCATTCGCTGTGTTGTGTGTTCCAACAATGCGGATGAAGGAGGCAGGCTGTCTTTCAAAAGTGACCGACTGCCAGGACCTGTGAGAGGAAACACAACCATTAGCCTGGTTAGACAGTGCAGCTAACTCTGGAATGGTGTCCACTCCTCCCGTGTGGCAGGAGGGGCTGGGCAGGGCCCCTCTAAGGTGGAGATGGAGGAGGAGGTGGTACACAGCGTCCCCTGGGAGTCTGCCATCGTGTGAAGAAGGCACCCTACTGTCTGCAGATGTGACTTAGGGTTCTTAGCAAGTGACGTGGCAAGAATGTGGGTGTGGGTAGGTGGAAATGTAATGGAGGTGGGCAGGAATGTGAAACATGCATCCCTTATCTGTACCAGGAGACATGGCACAGGATGGGGCTGGATCCACTTCAAAGGGCAAGTCCCACACCTAGGCCCACAGCAGTGGAGTCACTCGCTGCCAGTCAGAGATGGCACCTAGGCAGGCAAATGCTCCACAATCCTCCCCCTTTCCTGCTTCCAAATGCAGCCCATGTAGCCTGCTCTCAGGACTGGCCCATCTATGTTCTCTAGTGCAACCCCAATATTTTAAGGGCAATGCTATACCTATCAACTTGGGTGGAAACCAGCCACACAGGCCTGGAACAAACGCTGAAGGGAGGGGATCATCAGCTCATCAGAATGCACCAGAGGAGTGCAGGACACCCACCACTGTAAACTCCAATAATATTTTCTGTAATAAATGTGAGGAGTTCACAGTAGTTGCCATCCCTCCTCCGCTCACACAGTGGAAATGCCAGCTGCTGCGAAGCTGTTTCCTGTAATTGTCTAATTACCAAGTAATGCTAGCAAAGAAAATATATGTATTTGCAGTTTGTTTTTCCCCCTTTGGCTTCAGGTGCTCCATTCTCTCTCTCTCTCTCTCTTTCTCTCTCTCTCTCTCTCTCCCCCCACTCCTCTCTTTCTCTCTCCAAACCTCCCACTGAGATTGATTCACTGCTGCCTGGACACTAGTCCTCTTAAGGTCATTAAAAAGTCATTACCATCCTGTGTACAAAGGCTGTGCCTCTGAAAGCAGTTTTCTGAAAACAGAGTAAGAAAAATCACTCTCTGGGTAAGAATGTTATCTTCATATGGAGGCGAGGCTGCCTGACCATTGGAGCTTGAGCTCTTGCCTTGTTTCCTTGTGGGGACCCTGGTCCTCAGCTCCCCGGCTCTCTCCAGCAGCCTGCAGACAGGAGGCAGACTGTAGGCAGGGAAGGCCTGCAGGCTGTGGGGCTTCCACTGGCTCCGTGGTCCCTCCTGACCTAAGCCTCATTCTTGCAACAGGTGAGGGGGGAGGGAAAGAGAATCACTGTGCCCCATCTCCGTCTCTAAAGGAAGCTGCAGTACACACGCCAAAGCTGGTCTGCTACCTGCTTCTCAGAAAAACAGAAGTAGGATGAATGACAACGGCCTGTCACAACTGCTGGGCTTGAGTCAAGAGTTTCACAGAAAAGATGGGGTGGGAGGGAGGGTAGAAGAGAGGCTGCAGAACCACGCCTTTTTTTTTTTTTTTTTGCCTCAGCTTTCTAAACCAGTGGTGCAGGTACAGGGGGAGACTGCGCATGGAAGTTCTCGGTCCTTGTGGCTTGCATGGCTCTGAACTTGCAGCATGTGCCCGGCCCTTCCTCCTCAGGACAGGAAGTGAGGCCTGATTTGGTGTCCTAGGCAGATGGGCCTCATTGTCCACCTCCACAAATGTCCTGTCACTACCCCCGCCCCCCCTCCACTCTCTCGAAACCAGGCTTCCACCTGGCCTTAGGGCTCTGGGCAGGGTGGCAGCCTGAGCAGGAGGGAGCGGTCTGTGAGTAATAAGATCAGAAGGTCTCAATTTAATACCAATCCTCCATTACATTGCATTAGTATCTAATCACATTAGAGTTCATTTGCACTAACACAGCCTGAGAGTTGAATATATGATTTCATTTTCAGCAGAACTAGATACCAATCCTAAGAGCAGAGTATCAGCAGGAAGAAAGGCTGGGTAAGATGAGGTAATGAGCACTTCTCCTTCCCCAGCTACCAAATCCATTTCCCCCCAACTTCTTTGAAATAACCATCTGCTGCTCAACGTAGAAATGACAAACTGGCTCTGGATGGACATCACCACACCAAGCCACACTTGCATTCTCTGGGCAACCTCAAAAAGAGGGCACTTTCTCTAAGATTTCACGGGGCAGGAGCCTCCCACCGCGCAGCACATGAGGGCACGGCCACTGTCGCAACGCTTTGGTGACAGACGACTTGCCAGGTCTCCTCTTCAGTAGCACATCTTCCATCTTAGAGGAGAGACAAGAGCCTCTGGAATGCAGCAACCACTCAGTTCAGAGCCAGGTCCTGGGGAGGAGTCTACACAGTAGCAAAATCCATGTAGTCTTTGAAAGTTTGCCATGAACAAGAAAACTCCACATGGGACTATAGTCCAATCCTCATCGGCTCTATAGCAGACAAAATACAGCCCTTTTCTTACTTGTCAGGGCTTCAAGAATGAAGTCTCAATTACAGCCAATTGTAAATATATGCATCACATGCATATGGAGAGAGAGAGCGAGAGAGAGAGAGAGAGAGAGAGAGAGAGAACTAGTCTAGAGAATTGGCAAATAGTGATTAAGATTTTAACTTTGTTAGGGAGTGGGGATGGGGATGGAGGTAGAAAAGAGAAACAGACTGCTGGGGGAGTAGGTAGGTACTAGTAGGAGGGGATCAACCTAACCAGGAGTATAAAGGAGGCTGATTACTGTCAAACAGACCATTTGCAACTAGGTAAATGGAACCTGTTGAAATTGTTTTGGGAAGGGGGAAGAGGGACAGGAAGAGTGATAGAGAGTGAAATTGATTGGTACACATTGTCTTTTTTTTTTTTTTTTTGGTCCAGTCTTGGGGCCTGAAATCTGGGCCTGGGCGCTGTCCCTCAGCTCTTCAGCTCAAGGCGAGTGCTCTACCACTAGAGCCACAGCGCCACTTCCGGCCTTTTTTTTTCTGCTTATGTGGTGCTGAGGAATCAAACCCAGGGCCTCATGCATGCAAGGTAAGCACTCTACCACTGAGCCACCTTCCCAGCCCACACATTGTAAACATGTATAGAAATATGACAATTAAATCCCACTCTGTAAAACCAATGTAAGCTAATTTTAAAAAATCTTAAAACAGGAGCTGGGAAGGTGGCTCAGTGGTAGAGCGCTTGCCTTGCATGCATGAGGCCCTGGGTTCGATTCCTCAGCACCACATAAGCAAAAAGAAAAAAAAAGCCGGAAGTGGCGCTGTGGCTCAAGTGGTAGAGTGCTAGCCTTGAGCTGAAGAGCTGAGGGACAGCACCCAGGCCCAGAGTTCAGGCCCCACAACCGGACCCAAAAAAAAAATCTTAAAACAGAAGAAAATATTTTAGCTTTGAAGATTGGGGGTGTGGCTTTGTTGCAGAGTGCTTGCCTAGCATATGTAGGCCATGAATTTGATCCACTGGGGGCAGGGAATACTTTAGCTTTGGATGGAAGAATTTCAGGAATTATTGACTTTAGTTTTGTACTTTCCTGTACTGTTTCAATTTAGTATAGTGTATATGCATACATCTATAAATTCCAGTGATCAACCACAGACCATATAACAGGAAGCTACAGAGACACCATCACTGTAGTGTCACAAAAAATACTCGGGTTCAGAGGATGACAGGGGAGTGGGAACCCCAGACAATCTCCAGCTTTCATGGTCTAGGGCAGAGTGGCATGTGGTTGACAATTAGGTCTGGTGCCAGGTTGTCTGGGTGTGATTCTCAGTCTGAACTTGGAATGGTTGCTTAACCTCCATGGGCCTCAGCCTCATCTATAAAATGACAATTATCTGAAATACTTTGTGAAGATTAAGCACATTACCAAATGTAAAACACCTAGAAGAATGTGGGTAGGTCTACTGAGCACTAGAAAAACAATGAATGAACTGGGAAGACATGCTGCTTCCCTGGGCCTCATCAAGTTGGATGGGAAAGGGGGTATGACCCAGTGACTGACTCCCAGCAGTACCCAAGTCTCTGAGGCAGCTGCGCAGCTGGGCTCTGTGTTAGAATTAGACAGGTATTGGCTGAATGCTTCCTTGGGCTTGGCAGGTGCTGGGTGTTATGAGGGAATCCCTGCAAAGTGTAACCTGGCCCTTAAGTTCCTCATGCCACCAGGGAGGTCAGCCGTCCCTCCACAAACTAATTAGAGAACAATCAAATGGTACAGTGGTCCCAACTTATAGATTGCCGCTGTTCCAAAACTTCCCTCCTAACCAGCTGCGTGATGCCTGGAAGCAATTTCTCCAAAGAAAGCTATAAATTTTGATGGGATTCCTAGGCCCATCCACAAAACTCAATCCAGCTCATAATGAGGCTGAAAAACTACATATATGAAGCTTAAAAAAAGGGAAAAAAATGATGTTTCTATAGCAGCAATTAAACAAACCAGAAAAACAAGATTTAAAACCACCTAAGCCGTTCGAAGAATAAGGATTGAATACTGCTGAGAAGTAAAAATCATGGCTGTAAGCTACAAACCCTGGGGATCTGTCAATAGGAGAGTGTCAGCCCAAAGGCCTGTCCCCAGCAGACCATTGTGTGGTTTGCAGCCATCATCGACCTCATTAGGCTCTGGGCAGCTAGGGTCAGTCTCATGTCAGAGGTGAAGAGGCTCAGGCAGAGTAGAGGTGAGTCATTTGTGTGATGTCCCACAACAGCCAGGTGGAGAGTCAACAACAAGAGTTAGACTTCATGACTAGTAGTTCTAAAAAGAGCGCAACGGGAAACTTTCAAGTAACTTCCAGAGCTGGGTGCTTGTGGCTCATATCTTAATCCTAGTTACTCAGGGGGCTGACATCTGAGGTTTGTGGTTTGAAAATCTGTAAGACTCTCACCTCCAATTAACTGCCAGGGAAAACAACAACAACAAAACCCAACTGGTAGAGCACTAGCCTTGAGTGAAAAAGCTCAAGGGACAATGGCAGGGTTCAAGCCTCACTAGTGGCACAAAAACAAAGCAAAACAAAACCAACAAAAAAATCAACTTCCAGT